CCCTACTGGCCAGCCGCCACTGGTTCTGATCCAGTGAATCTCAGTCCTGCTTGGCAGCAGCATGTTGTTTTCCAAAAGCTTGATGACCAGACATTTGGCTGAACCTAATTATTGCATCAGTGATGAAATAGATTTGTGAAATGCCTCTAAATAAAACTGTAATCAGCAGCTGCAGCAATTCAATGATAGAATCCGACTACAAGTTGATCCTAAAACGAGTCGATCTGTCAGGAAAACAAATAAAGTCACATTCTGGTTTATTTTCTGAGCGAATCCAACCTGCAGACAGACCAGATCTGGAGATCTGCTGCAACTGAACTGCTCACAGAAAACACAAAAACATAAAGAAAAATAACGGCTGCATACAGACAAAGTTTAGCCAACCAAACTTATTAATGCTGGTCTTTTGTTCATGAACAGATTCAGAGCAGAAACTGCAGAGCGATGCAGAGCTGCTGCTATAAAATGGCGGGAAATCACCAACCTGTAAATCATGTTACATAATGATTAATAATATAACAATAATATAATAATAACATGTTATATTTAAACCTCATAACATATTTTCATGCTATCAGGTTTAAATTTAAGGCATAACAAAACAATAGGATTTTTCAACATCTCATTTTATAAAAGTATAATAACACAAAGGTGCTAACAAATAAAAAAGTGTAAAACACAGAAAAAAGTTACCAAAACTCACATATTTTCCAGAAACTCATGAAAACCAGGAAAGTCAGAGAACGCATTAATTTTATCTTCATGTTACCCGACTGAGCAGCTGCAACACGAGGAGAACTGAACCAACATGAAAACTGAACGTTTGAGCAGACATGTTGGAGCAGATCCTCAGGAATGAAATGTTTCCTGAGATGCAGAGTGCAGATAAGAGCAGAGACTGAAGCAGAGATTGCAGCAGAGACTGCAGCCCTGCATTGTGATTTGGATCAGCATGAATCAACTTGACTCACTGGCATCAAGTTCAAACCTGAAGGAAAACCTGTAGAGACTGAAGCTTCAATTTCCTGAATCTGTTTGGAGTTTTTGAGCCTTGAATTGTGAACAAAGCAGAACTTTTCCAACTAGATGTGTAACTTTTATAAAAACTATTTTGTTTGTTCATTTTTGACAAACTGTCACTATGTAGAATGAAACCAGGTGTGGATTATTTTTATGGATCATGGATCTGTTTCATATACAGTAGATGTTTGTTACAGAGGCTGGGACCTGATTTGGACCTCACAGGCTCCCGTCCTGCATGTTTACACATCATAAAACATTTTAATCTCTCAGACATATAAATGGATGATCACTAACTTTAGATTCATCAATAATAAATCCACACAAACACCTGAATAATGAAACAAAAGGAGCATCTTCACACATTTAACTTTAGACTATAATTTCATCATTTCATTTCAAAGAACTTGTTTTATTTGTGAAAATTAAATTCATAAACTGACATCAGTTTTCACCACAACTGAGGAAAAGTAAAATATTTGACATAAATGTTGACAATAACTTCTGCACAATTTTCACATCTAGAAATTTGTTATAACTTTGAGCAAAACAAAAATAAAATATGAAACACATGAAAAAAACACACATTTCCCTCAATACTTTTGTTCATCAATCCAATGACTATCATGTCAAAACTTTACTGTTTTATTGTGACTAACCAGAAAAAAAAAACAAAATGTCATATTCATATTATTTTGAAAAATAAAAATTAAACTTCACAAAATAAACCAGTTTATCACAAACAGTTATAAACTTAAAGCTGAAGAAACAGAATAAACATCTCGTCTTGTTGAAGCAACAAACCAGTTTTTATTAGACATTTACTCTAGTAAAACCATTTAATAGTTTTACAACCTGAAAGATATTTAATCAATATTACTCGTCCATTTCTTTATCGGTAGTTTGTGTTTTATGATTTCCATCCTTAAAAGGCATTTAAAGTGACAAACTTTTTTTGTCTAACAGATGTGATGATTTTGTATTTTCCTGTTTTTTAGTGTCTTAGCATCAGTAGGAACATCAAATAATAAACATTTGGTTTATTAACTGTTGTGTGACTGAGATAAAACTAAGATTAATGTTTCATTTTCTTCTGTTATACATAAAAAATCTTACTATCTCTGATAAATATTAGTATGATTCCAGATTTATGGCTGATCTGTCTGCAGGGATTAATTATGAAAAAGGTTCCTAAACTGTGCTGCTAAAAATTAACTCCTCTGAAATAATTAGTGAGTTTAATAAGAAAAAATAAAGGAATTTAACATGAAATAATGATCCATAGTTTAATTCCTGCAAACAGTTTTTTTATCTTATTTTCTTATTTCAAACCAGATGAAGTTTTACCTGAACTGCTGATTCATCCTGACATGGAGAAAAAACGTTTCGTTTCAGTTCTGTGTCATTTTGTGTTGTTTTATTATTTCAGTGGATCATCATTGTGTTTTCTGTGGATTCGTGTCGTTTTCCTCTCTTTCAGCTTCCGTTAGGCTCCACCCCCTCCCAACTGCAGCTCATCCGTTAGGCTCCGCCCCCTCCCAGCTGCTGCTCATCCGTTAGGCTCCGCCCCCTCCCAACTGCAGCTCATCCGTTAGGCTCCGCCCCCTCCCAGCTGCAGCTCATCCATTAGGCTCCACCCCCTCCCAGCTGCAGCTCATCCGTTAGGCTCCGCCCCCTCCCAGCTGCTGCTCATCCATTAGGCTCCGCCCCCTCCCAGCTGCAGCTCATCCGTTAGGCTCCGCCCCCTCGCAGCTGCTGCTCATCTGTAATGGCTGCAGCGTTTTCCAGGAGTCTACGTAGACCCGCTCTCTGGTTCCTCCGTGGTCACGCTCATCTTTATTTTAACAAATTCTCCTTTTATGTCGTCCCTTATCGTCTTTATTGCTCTAGAATGCTGAAAGTCAACTGAGCTGCAATAAAATCCAGACAGTTCAGTTTTAGAAAAAAGTCATTGTTCCAAAAACTAAATAAAATTCAATCTTTTTTCTCATCTTACTTTCTTTCTGTCTTTATTTGTGATAGTTAAACGTTCACTTTAAGTATGCAAAGAAAATGTTTTGTCTACTGTTAAAGTTTTTGATGCTTTACTTACTCTGACTCTTCACTAAAATTTCCAAATGATTCTGATTCTCCTTTTTTTGAGTCCTTGCTCTTCTTCTCCTCATCACCCTTCTGCTTCTTTCCATCCTTCTCCTCCTTCTTACACCTGTAACAATAAAACAAAGACAATAAATTCATGCATGAATTGTTTTCTTTGGGACAAGAGAAGCATCAACAGAGGCAGAGTTTATGTAGTAAACTGAAGAGTGGAGACAAAATAAAGTTGTACTTTTTCTTTAAAAAAGCTGCTGCTGCTGCTGCTCCTGCTGGTCCAATCAGACCCAGAATCACCTTCCAGGTTTTACCTCCTGCTGATTCTGCAGAGGAAGAGGAGAAACACTGACCGTCTGCATCATTTATAAATGACTGTGTTTCATAAATAACAGAAAAGGTTCCAGCAGTTCGATCTTCACGCTGCTCTGCAGCAGCACAGAGAAATGATTTCAGTTCCTCTGATCAGGAGGAAACATTCTCAGGCCATGACGTCTGAATCTGAAATAAAACTGGTTTTATTTCTTCATCTACATCCCAGGAAAATTAAATTTATCCCTCCACTTTTTAAACTAGTTAGAATTTCAGCTACATTTCTGTAGATTCAAACCAGTTTCTACAAACAGAGAAAGCAAATGAAATATTTATTTTAGTCTGTCGTAAAATGGAAGAATTCATGAAAATTATGGGTTTAATCTGAATGAAAATATAATTATTTTGCTCCAACATGTTTAGTTATTTTCTGTGGTTTCATCACCTCCTTTTTTAAGGGTTTCTGTCCTCCTGTTGCTCCTGGTTCTGATGCTGCAGCTGTAGATCAGATCTGGACCATCTGGACCCGTCAGAGAGCTGCTGATGTCATAAAGCTTCTCCTCAGTCTGATGGACTGTGGTTCTGTTCTGCAGAGCCGTGTTGGATGGAGGCTCAGTGGACCAGGTGAGTTCAGGTTGAGGGTAGATCCCCTCTGAGCTGCAGGTGATCCTGTTTCCATCCTGATGGATCCTGATGTCAGAGACTGGAGCTGGAAACAGAAGAAAATGCATCAAAAAGTGAAACACCAACGAAAAGCAGCTGGAAAACATGAAATGTGTTTAATAAAATATTTCACCGTCTATCTTCAGGTTTATAAATGATTCTTTATATCCTGTGCTGCTGCTGATGTTGCATTTATATCTTCCCTCATCCTGGATCTTCACCTCCTTCAGCAGCAGGGAGGCGTTTCCTCTGGAGATCTGATCCAGGATCAGTGACGTCCGGCCCTGAAACTTCTGGTTCTGCTGACCCAGCTGGTCCTGGCCGTCATAGTAGGAGTGAACCACAGAGTCTCCAGCTGATGACGGGTTGGACCAGCGGATCACCGAACCAGAACCGGACTGGAACTGACAGGGCAGCAGGCAGCTGTGTCTGAAAACACAGGAAACCTCTGGATCTGCAGCAGGAAGCAGATGAAACTTTTTTAGGTTAAATTTTCATCAAATCATTTTCACAGTCATTAAATAAAGATGGTGCTGAACACCGAGGAGCCACAGAGTCCTTAAATCAGCAGTTTTAGCCTGGGGGACCACTTGCTTTAACTAGGCCACTCCTTTAAACGCTTTAAAATCCTGAAATCAGAGTAAACAGTGAGTGTGTCATCCTTCATCCTCATGGCAGAAAAACTTTAAACTTTTTCTCTCCATCAGCTGAGACTGAAGGAGAAGGAATCATAAAAATACCTCTGATCAACTTTAGGCAAAACTAACAAAATTTAATCAAATCTGAAATGTTCATTTAACATTTACAAAGACAAAAGCAACTCTAATCTAGTTCAGTATTTCTGAACAGGTTTTAGGCAGAGAGCCGATTGAAGGAACATTTTAAAACTGCTGTTTGTTTCCAGGGTTTAACTGAGCAGCTTGTAAACAGCAAACTGGTTCTGCAGCTTCTTCCCTCCAACTGTGACACACAGAAGAAACGACTTCTTGTCACGTTTCATAAAATCTGAACTTAAGCTCATAAATTCATTTTTGACAGTAAAAAACTGAATCAGTTAATGAATCTGTTCTAAATCAATCATTGATCTTCCTGAAGCCTCTGAGTTTCATTTCCCTTCATGGTTTATGTTATGATTAAATTAAACATGTGAAGGAAAAACTGCCCTCTGCCACTTTAAGGTTGGAAATGTTTTCATCTTTAACAGGTTGTAAAATAATTAGCATAAATCTTCAAATGTAGGAAACGTCACATCCAGATCCTTCATATCAGTTTTCATTAAACAAACAGGAAGTTTCCAGATGAATCTGTTAAGATTCAGTGATACATAAATAAACTGAAGCCAGAAAAACTTTACTTTGAATAAAAGAAAGAGAAACACATCTAAAAAACCCAAATATAGAAAACCATAAAGTGTAGAGTTTTTATTCTGGTGAAGAAGATTTGAATTAAAACACAACATGATCGAGTAAATATCAGAACCTCCAGCTGATAAAACTCTGTGTGTTTAAATCAGCTTTAATTAAAACTGAATGTCTACAGTCTGAATTCAGTAACTCAGGAGTTATGAGAGAAATCCTGAACTCATTTCACTGTTTCCCTCAGTGAAACATCGTCAGTGTTTCTGTTTCCTGTGTTTGTTCAGAAAAACACAACAAACCATCTTCATGCTGACATCAGAATAAGAAGCTGAATATTTTGACTCACCTGCTTCAGAACCAGCCAGCAGAGGAACCAGAACCAGGAAGGTTTTAAAGACGGATCTGCCTGCCATGTTCAGGATCAGCTGTTTACTGATCAGCTGTTTACTGATCAGCTGTTTACTCAGAGCTGCTTCATCAGAGTAAAACCGACATGCAGAATGTTGAGACGCCACATTGTGAGAATTCCCGGTATTCCTCCAACATCACGGCTCCAGAACTCAACAACAGGAAGTTCTGTTCGTCAAAGAACATTCCTAACTAACCGAGGATCTGCCTGAAGGTTCAAAACAAGCTGTTCAAGTTCCTCTCAGATGATCTGCATGTCCTGATGGATCTGATGGATCTGATGGATCTGATGTTCTGCTCAGAGCTGAAATCCTGATCACTCAGGAGTTCTGGTGAACCAAACGGGTTGTTCTGATGAAGGTTCTCCTGATCCGATCTGAAGGGACGAGCCGGATGAATTCAAACAGACGAGTTTATTTTCATCTGTAATAATGCAGACAGAATAACTGACATGCATGTGGAGCATTTGGCTGATTTCACCACAGGAGGATCTGAAGCTGCTTTCACCTCCAGAACCGGATTGATTCTGATCTGGTCTCAGTGAACATGGAGGTTCTGGCTGCAGGTTTAGAGAATTTCATCCCATCAACACACATTTAAACGTCTCTTTGACCAAAACCCTGCAGGGCTGAGATTCTGTCTAACGAGATGAAGAACATTCAGGGATTAAAAAACTGGTGAATAATTATAATCTGGAATAAAAGATCCTGGGGCTTCATAACTGAGGCAGAGGAGTCAGACTTTTTCACAGATTATCTGTCTTATACTGTACCGTCACAACATATTGACAGATTTCACAAATATGTAAAACACTTTATTTTTTTAATAAAAGTTGCATACTTCAGCTGTAGCAGGAGAAACTGGAAGTCGGACATGTTTAACGATTTCATTTCTAGATGAATTTCTTTTTGATGTTTTGAAGCTGTGATGGATGTTCAGTTAATCTTCAGCTGATTCTGTTTCTGTTTTCCACAGATTCTATAAAGTTGATGGTTTTTCAGCTGATTTATAATCTGACTCGGTTTCCATGGCGATCAGAGATGAAACAAACACAAGAAAAACATTTAATTCTGCCTGAACTATAAATCCACAGCTGGAGGTAAAGAAATGAAAAGCATGGCCAGTGATATGACGGACAGCGGCCCCTAGTGGACACATTTAAAACTACCATGATGAATGAAGAGAAGAACAGTTTGGACCTCACAGGCTGCCGTCCAGCTCTGAAGGCAAAGAGCAGATCCAGAGTGTTCACACATCATTAATGGAAATAAAACATTATTATCTCAGATATATTCAATCCAAATTGAATTAATTTATTAAATCTAGCATATCAAACATTTTTACATGTGAATGTAAAAACCCAACAATAAACCAATACAGACACATTTATAATGAAACAACAGTTGCATCTTCACACATTTCAGATTATAATTCAATCGGCTCTTTTCATCTCAAAGCAACTTGTTGAAAAGTAAAAAAAAAACTATAAATCTGAAGTAACAGAATAAGAAGCACCTATTATTATGTTTAGCTGCAATAAATGTCCAGAAAATAAGTTTCCCATAATCCAGTTCAGCACCGTCGTTATACAGCAAAACACATTTTATCACATATTTCCTTCATCATAAACATTTAATCTATAAAACTTCTATTTTAGGACCTTCTGTAGTATGAAAGTTATTAAATCAATATTACCTTTATTTTCTTTGTAATCCCATTTTATGTCTCATAATTCACATTTTTAAAAGCAGCTAAAGTGATAAATATGACATTTATCTGATTAAAACACGTCAGAGGATTTTTTAAAACTTCTATGTATAACAAACATCAAACGATTAAAGGTACTTAGTTGATAAACATCATTAATGACGTATTGCCAATCTGACTGAGATAAATCTGAGATTAATGTTTCATTTTGTCTAATAAACATAATAAAATCTTAATGACTGATGAATATTAATATGTGATCAGATTTATTAATTATGAAAATGGTCCCTAAACTGTGCAGGTAAAAAATGTTTCTGAGTGAATTAAGCAGTTTAACAGTTTATTTAAAAAAAAAAAAAAAAAAAAAAAATATATATATATATATATATATATATATATTATATATATATTTTCAAGATAGAAAATAATAAATCACTTCAACATGAAATAATGATCTTAATTTACAGTTTTTATCTCTTTTCCTCCAAATGAAGTTCTTGAAGTTCATCAAAGTTTCATCGTCGTCCAGCTCTCTGCTGTCATGAACTTCAGTTGATTCTTCATGTTCTGGATCATTGTTGTGTTTTCTTGTCTTGTTTTCTTGTTTCCAGTTGTTTTTCTCTCCTTTCTCTTCCTTTAGGCTCCTCCCCCTCACAGCTGCAGCACATCTGGAATCATGAAGGTGTTTCCAGGGGGTCCATCTCTCCGGGTTCCTCAGTGATCGATTTGTTTTTATTACCCTGTTTCGTTGATCCTTGTTTACTGTCAGATCCTGTGTTACCATTTAAATGGTTCATCTCAGTATCCCTGTAACAAAATTCACCATCACACACAGTTTAGTTCATATTAACTTGTTTTCTTTAGAACAAAGTCATATTTCTAAAGACCAAATAAAAATTATGATTATTACCTTAAATATTCACCCCATCACCATGATCATTATCTGAATAAGATTTTTTTGTTTTACATTTTAATTTGCTTTGTGAGTTTAAAGGAGTTTAAATTATGTTAGTTTTCCTTTAAACAGTCCTGATCTTGTTATGACAGAAAATAAAACTTTTCTTTGTTCTTGCAGAAAATCTTTGGGAGAAAATGAGTTAAGATGAATCAAGATATAATTTTCACTTGATAGTAAAATGTATAATGTTAGTTTTCAGTCAGTAAAGTGACAAATATTCACTTTAAGCATTTAAAAAGTATTTTATCCAAAATACTGAGAGATTTGATTCTTTACTTTCTCTGGGCCTTGTGGATTTTCATCTGATGCTGATGCTGTTCCTCTTTTACTCTTTTTACTTTTAAGTCGTATGAAATAATAAATCAGACAGAAAATGAATAAATGGCTTGTTTTGTTTAGGACAATAGAAATATTCAGTTCAGAGAACAACAGCAGTAAATTTAAAACAGAAAATAGAAAGTAGTTTTACCTTTTACATTTATACCAGACTGTCACTCCTATGATTATTATTACTGCCACTGCTGCTGCAATCAAACCACCAATCAGCCACCAGGGTAAATCTTCATCTTTCTGCACAGATTCTGCATAAAAAGAGATGGAAAAGTTTAATGTTACTGTGTGATTTAGCCAAACAGCAGCAGGCCAGTGAGGTTATTAGGCTGTTTCACAGATGAGAAAATAATATTTATTATATAAAAGGTAAAGGAATGTCATCAATTATGTATCTGAAGAAAATGGTTTTGTTTTCTGATTTAGTTGTTTCTGTTTCTAGATCTGTAAAGTTGGGAGATAAAACTTATTGCTTCGCCTCATTCTCTACAGTTTTTACCATCAGAGAGGAGAAAATAAAGATTTAATCTTCTTCTGAAAATAACGATGATATAAATTTAAACAAACATCAGTAGTTGTTCTCCAGTTTTCTCACCTGGTTTTATAAAAGTTTCTGTCTTCTGGTTCCTCCTGGTTCTGATGCTGCAGCTGTAGATCAGATCTGGACCATCTGGACCCGTCAGAGAGCTGCTGATGTTGTAAAGCTGATCTTCAGTTTTCTGGATCCTGGTAGTTTCATTCAGAGTCGTGTTGGATGGAGGCTCAGTGGACCAGGTGAGTTCAGGTTGAGGGTAGATCCCCTCTGAGCTGCAGGTGATCCTGTTTCCATCCTGATGGATCCTGATGTCAGAGACTGGAGCTGCAGGAGAAAATGCATCAAAAACAAAGAAAATCAGCTGAAATAGATGTTAAATAGATATTAACTCAGTTCTACCTTCTGTCTGCAGGTTTATAAATGATTCTTTATATCCTGTGCTGGTGCTGGTGTAACATTTATATCTTCCCTCATCCTGGATGTTCACCTCCTTCAGCAGCAGGGAGGCGTTTCCTGTGGAGATCTGATCCAGGATCAGTGACGTCCGGTTCTTAAAGTTCTGGTTCTGCTTACCCAGCTGGTCTTTGTTGTGATAGTAGGAGTGAACCAGAAGATCTCCAGCTGACACTTGGTACCAGTGGATGAGTGGATCAGAGCCAAGCTGGATCTGACAGGGCAACAAGCAGCTCTGTCTGAAAACACAGGAAACCTCTGGATCTGCAGCAGGAAGGAAATATTTTAACTTCAGATTTCATGTTTAGGTTTTTCTGTCCAAATCAGCTTCATAATCTTTAAATAACTAAGATGCTTCTCGTTCAGTCAGTCCAGGCTGTTCATACTGTAAATGGTTACTAAAGGGTTAAAATGCTCCTGGTTGTTCGCTGGTCCAATAGTGACACCTGGTGGTCATTAGTGCTTTTATTTTGAAGAGCAGCTTGTTTCTTCTTCGTGTGTTTTGGACATACTGCTCTTCCTGTTCTTCTGAAAAAGCAGGTATAAATATTCACAACTGTGTTTTGTGATAAGAAAGATAATTTGTTTATTTCAGAAAGTTGTAACATAATTGGTTTATTTGTTTAAAAGGAAAAACTGCTGAAATGTTAAAGATACTACATATTTTTTGTGAACATTAACCATTTATCTGGTCTTCATGTGTTTGTCTCCTCTAGGGGGCGTATTCTGTTTTGTGTACTGAGTGTATCGGAAGTGGGGGGGGGGGGGTTACTAAAGGTCAAGGGTCATTCTGTTAGGTTGCTAAGAGGAAGAGGTGAACCGTTTTCCACTATGTGTGGTTTTGGGGTTTGTTGATCTGTTTTGGTCTAAATGGGAAAATGATGGACAAATAAATGAAGAAATAAATGACTATGTGATTAAAGTCCAAATGAAGATCGAGGGAAAGTAAAACCGAAGTCTAAAATATATAAACATGTGTTACATTGTTTGGTTTTATATTTCTCTAATAAAAGCTCTCAATGAATTTGAGACAAAACTAACAAAATGAACTCAAACAAAAATCATCAATCCACCACATTGTGAATTATAAAGAAACATTAATTTAATGAAATATTTAAGAACATTTTAAAAAAAACTACAAACTGGAATAACTTCAGATGATTTAAATAATCAGAAAACAGGATTTAATTTTAAAGGTAAAACGTTTTCCAAACAGGAAGTTTTAGAGCTGTGAGTTTAGATGAATGTAAGAAAACTG